AAACTCCTTCGACATGACCCCTCCATGTCTTGCAACCCAGTCCTCATGGTCACGAGGGTCTGAGATTAGGGATGTTCACTTTGTAAGAGGGTGTGAGCAAAACCCAGGTGGTGAGGAGCACTGGGAGGGACCATCTGGAATTTTACCATCCAGGATGACTTCCTTCCATATGTGGTCACCCTTAGGAGACAAATGGGGTCAGCATATCCTTCAGGAGAAGTTACCAGGAGCAAGTCCATCTGCTCTTTGAACCTCAGTTTCCCCAATTATTCAGTAAGTTGCATGCACTGAGGAACCTTCCAGGGAGGTGATTTTTCTCTGGAATCTGAGGGTGAGGACAAGGAAGGACTGGGAAGGGCAGATGCCCAATGGCATCCTCCTGGTCTCCGCGTCCAGCCCCCACTGAGACCCAAGATGTCAGCAGGCCTGAGATTGTCTGGTGATGACTTTGTTTCTCAGACAACCTTGAGCAAGTTGTTGCCTTCTCCAGATCTCAGTTTGCCCAGATGTACCAGAGAGATGTGTTGGTTTAGTCTTTCTAGAAAGCAACTAAGCAATATCTGAAGCCTTAAAAAGTTCATTCCCTTTGGCCCTAGAATTCTATTTGTAAGCCTTGATCCTAAGGAGAAACACTGTCAGATATAGTGCCAGAAAATAAGCCCCTCAGGTTGGAAGACACTAAAAATGTGACTTGGGAAGAGCTGCCTCCTCAAAGTAGAATTGACAGTGATAAAGCGAATGGAGTAAAGCTCGTAGGAGAAAAGCCCGCGGGACTTTCATTTGCTGATGGGGCACAACTCAACATGAAGAGAAACAGCTATAAACAGCCATTGAAAATCAGAAAATGGAGTGTACGAAGTATGAATCTGGGAAAATTGGAAGTTGTCAAAAATGAAATGGAATGCATAAACATCAATATCTTAGGCATTACTGAGCTGAAATGGACTGGTATTGGCCATTTTGAATCTGACAACCACATGGTTTATTATGCCAGGAATGACAAATAGAAGAGGAATGGTGTTGTATTCATTGTCAAAAAGAACATATCCAGATCAGTCATGAGGTATCTATCTGTGATAGGATAATATCCATGCGCCTACAGGAAAGTCCAGTTAATACCACTATTATTCAAATTTATGCACCAACCACTAAAGCCAGTGAGGATGAAATAGAAGAATTCCACCAACTTCTTCAATCTGAAATTGATCAAATATGCAATCAAGATGTATTGATCATTACTGGTGATTGGAATGCAAAGGTTGGGAGCAAAGAGGAAGGATCAGTACTTGGAAAACATGGCCTTGGTGATAGAAATGATGCTGGAGAACGCATGATAGAATTCTGCAAAATTGATGATTTGTTTATTTCAAATACCTTCTTTAGACAGCATAACAGATGACTATACACATGGACCTCACCACATGGAATACGTAGAAATCAAGTTGACAACATTTGCGGAAAGAGACGATGGAAAAGCTCCATATCATCGGTGAAAACAAGGCCAGGGGCAGACTGTAGAACAGACCATCAATTACTCATATGCAAATTCAAACTGAAGCTGAAGAAAATGAAAACAAGTCCACGAGAGCCAAAATATGACCTTG